TGATTTGTCATTAGTCTTTGACATCCCTTGGCTTGTGGATACCTCACTTCAATCCTCTGTCTTCACATGCCCTTCTCTCTATGTGTCTTCATATTGTCTTCCCTCTGTTCCTGTCTGTGTGTCCAAATTTATCCTTATGAGGGTATCAGTCATATTGGGTTAGAGCCCACCCTGGCCCCATTTTAACGTGGTTACATCTGCAGTAAGACCTTATTTCCAAATAAGGTCATATTCTGAGATGCTAGAGGTTAGGACTTCAACATATCTTTTTGGGGGAACACAGTTCAAGCAATAACCTCCTAATGCAATCGTATCATTCTTTGGACTTAAGCTTTCCACATACAACTTGTTGTTCCTCTTGTGGAATATTACATTGATTAAATTGCCTCTAGTTCTTCAGCTATCAGATGCTTTTCCCTGGCAGGCTGATGTAATTAGGGAACTAATAACTGGATCAATAAGGAAAAGAGCATTTTCTTTCATATTTTCCATCTGTTCCAATGATTCATTTAGGGCTTTGTGTGTGTGTGTGTGTGTGTGTGTGTGTGTGTGTGTGTGTGTGTGTTGCCACTGAATATGTGGTTGTTATGAGATATGAGACCATGACACATAGGGGAAGAAGGGAAGGGAGAGGATCTGGATTGTTCTCTGCTAAAGGTTCAGGAATATCATCCTTGCGGGGGGCAGGGGGCATCAGGAGGCAGGCTGTGGAGAACACTCTCATATATGTAACTCTGTATAAACAAGAAATTTTTTTAAGGTTTTATTTATTTATTTGAGCGAGAGTGAGTGAGAGAGCGAGGGGAGAGGGACAAGCAGACTTTGTGCTGAGCACAGAGCTTGACACAGGGCTTGATGCCACAACCCTGGGATCATGACCCAAGCCAAAATCAAGAGTCAGAGGATTAAAACCAACTGAGCCACCCAAGCACCCTAAAGGAGAAATGTTTCTAAAGATGTTTAGTGTTTGGAAAATCTATTTTAGTGTTGCATAGAGCACGTTGGGTTGAAGCCATGCAGGACTATTTAAACAGCATGTGAGCTAATATGTTGCTTGTCCTAGGAAGGATTCACCACTATCCATGATGATCTCTGTGTAATACCATTTTATGGAAAATCCCATATTGCTTTGTGTGATTCCAGGTCACTCATGGAAAAAATTGGAATTCTAATTTTTGGCCTTTTAAAAAGTAGTTTTAAAGGTAAATATAATGAATACATTATGATTAGAAATTATTATTATAAAAATAAAAATAGAATAAAACTGTGGCTTATATTACTATTGAAATATTATCCATTGTAAAGAAATCTGAAAATGATAGAAAGCTTTAAAAAATATGTTACCATAGTCCCACAATTCAGAAATAACCACTGATAATATTTTGGCATATCTCCTTCTGATGTGTTTCAAGTTTTTGCAATACTTAAATAAAATTAGTGTCAATGTATGCATGTTTTGCAATATATTTTAAAATAAATAATATAAGCATTTTCATATCATTAAATGATCTTGTAACACTTACTATTGAATGGTTGCCTAAATTCTTTATTTCTCTTTGAGTGTTAGAGCTTTTTTAATTACTAAAGTAATGCATGGTCCTAATAATTTTAAAGACCCAGATAACCAAAACAAAAAATACTGATGGCCTTCAGTCTTACCCTTGCAGAGATAACTAGTAATAATATTATGACATATATTGCATGACAGTGTAATTGTCTGAATTTCTGTCTTCCACCGTTCATGGCATTTTTAACCTTTGTAATTACAGCCTTAGTTGAGTGCTTAAAGTATAGCGGTTTCTTGATACGCTTTTAGTCAATGAATGAAGGAAGGAAGAAATGGATGAACACATAGGTGAATGGAGAGGCTGCAAGGATCCAGCTTGCGGTAGAATAAAATTCATTCCAGACTCAGCAACTTATGTGGATGGAGAGACAAGGTAGCTATGGTTAGCTCTTAATGAATAGGAGCCTGCTCTTTCTGTTCCTCTGAATCAGCCTCTAGGCAGAGAATTCAATTTAATTTTTCTCCCATCAGTCAAGCGGAAGAGCTGAAGAAGCAAAACCAGAGACAAGGGAGGCAGGAGGTGGAACAGGCTTGGATGAGGAGATCAGCAGCTGATCTCTTGTTCTTTCTCTGTTAGGAAGAGCATGAGACGAGAGGAGTCATGCTTCTCCCAAGGGTGAGTCCTAGCAGGAGCTGTGGTGGAGGCATTCTGCTGCTACCAGATCCTCCATGATGGAAGGACTGATAATTTCTCTGGAGGATTGAGACTCCAGCTGTGTCAGTGTGACCCTCATGGTTCTTCCCTGGCTTGTCTCTAGAGTTCGCAGCAGAGAAAGACAGAATCATGCTGGGTTTTATTTGAAGGGATTTGGAGCTCTGCTTCTATGATTGGAATCTGGGCTGACAGAGAGTCTGATATCTTTGGGTTATAGAAGGCTCCAACCGAAGTCTCTTCTGTGTTTAATTGGGAAACATGTCTTAAGTCTGAGCATCTGTCTCTCAGACACCTGCCATGGGAAGGAGAGTGACCCATTTCTTAAAACTATGCATGGAAATCTCAGTCCTTGCAAAAAAATATAAGGGTATATTCTTTCCAATGCAATGGTCTGGTCCTTACCAACTCTCTCCTTCCTCCCAACACCCTCCCCAATATGAATATACATACAGATAAATATAGGATCAGCCACAAATAGTTGGGTGTATAGAAAGAGAGACAGACAAGAAAATGGGCAGACAGACAACCTCCACCTCCTTTTAGCCAGTGACAGTCGTCACGTCTCTGCTTCCTCTTAAAAACTTCCCCATAAGCCAAGTTCAAGATCTTAACCATATTGACATCTTTGTTCTTATTGTTTTCTTCACCCTATAAAATCTCTACTCACCTTCTCTCCTGTCTATACCACCTATCTCCAAAGGCCTAGCTCAAGCTATGTTGCTCTAGGAAGGCTCATTGTTCCATTTCCATTCCTGTTAATCTTGCCCATTTCTCAACTTCTAGAGCTCTAACCTCTGGCCCATTTTCCCCTTTGGTGTGGTGTATGTATATTTGAGAGTCATCTGTTTATAAGTTGAGAGATGGGCAATATGAAATGGGCTAAATGGGATAAAACTTCTTTAAGCCCCCCAAGGCTTACTTGAGATTACCAGAAGTTCGTTCAAAAATTACTTCTGTATGAGTTGCAAGATCAGGGACTCAGAACGTTACAGATGGCAGCGTGACCTGGGTGTGGTATGCCAGACAGCACATCCCTATAGGGGAACAGTACTGGGGATGTGATAATGGGAAGATACTTCATCTGACCCCATTTCTATAAACTTAAGGCCCATCTACTTCTGCCTTTCCCAATTTCCCCACCTGTGAAAGTGTGAAGAACATAAACATGGTAGAATTCTCCCTATAAACTAGGCACCGTGAGTCCATGGAAGAAGCTGGGAGCCAGGGGTCAGAAAACTTAAATCCTAGTTCTTGACCAAAACCTAACTTCCCCAAGACTGAGTTCATTAGCTACGAAACAGGAGGTTTGTGTGCTCACCTGTATATGCATTCTGTAACCACTGATACACAGAGGTGAGTCGGGCATGATTCCTGCCTCTCTTATGACTCATAGCCTAATGGCAGGAGGGGCATGCCAACCAGTATTGCCTTGGTGTGAACAGCTTCTTAGAGGCAGACAGTAAAAATAGTGATGGTACCTGGGGTGAGTGGTTGACTCTCCCTGGCAGGTCAGAAAATGCTTGAGAGCAAGGATTCAAGTAGTCATAACTGCCTTGCCTTTCAGTGTCCTTGTAAGGCTCAAATGTATGTGAAAGAGCAGTGTAGTCTACCTCTTTTTATTATTATTTCCATTATTTCCATTATCAGTCAGAGCTATTATACTTCCAGGCATACAATGGAAAATAAACTCCATACTCTTGGCTAGTCTGTGATAGGAATGTTGGCCTTTCTCTTACGTGTTAAAAAGGAGTCAGACTCTACATCCATAAAAGTAAGTGAATTTGGAATCTGACTTTATTAGCCATGCTGGGGTTCTTCTTTATTTTTCCAAAGTCTTGAGCCTCTTCTAGAATTTTTTTCTCATTCCATGAGTTACTATCCATTCTTACATGCCCATTTTCATTATTGATTTATTCAACAGATATCTGGTGAACTCCATATATATTGAAGGAATATAAACACAACTAAATAGTACAGATGAATCCGAAAGACATAACCACGTTTTACCTCATGATAAGTGTTCGGTGGAAACCAAAGATGAGTGCAGTGAATTGAGAAGGGAGAAAGATGAGTGGCTTGGACTGGTTGGAAAAGGTTGCATGGAGGGAGCCACCCACGCTTGTGTAATGCTTACTTAGGCGTAAGCATGGCCTTATCTCTGTGAAGACCTAGGACTATAAACAAGCGTGGTATCCTCCTTGCTAGTGAAGAGTCCATTTCATTTAGATTATATATAGGAGCAGTGAGCGATAAAACTTGAACAGCGCAATATTTTATACATAATATTGGCTCAGATACCAGCAGATGAGTATTTTTACATGTGTTTTATTTCCCTGAGAACACAGAATCTACCTCTTCTTTATCTTCATGTCCACCAGAGTGCCTTACATGTAGGAGCTATTCAGTAAATAAATTTTAAATAAATTTTGCTGAATTGTTTTGAATGGAGCTAAAGATATCAAGGAATTTGAAGAAAAATAAGAATTTTATGAAAGGCTTTACCCCTGAAGGAGAGAATGATGGATGGCATCAGAAAGGAGTTACACTCAGCTCAAAATCATTGGTTGATTGGATATATGTTTAGCACCTACTTGGTGCAGAAGTCACCATGATAAGTATGGCATGGTCATATTCATAGCTTTTATCTAGATAAAATCGATGCCAACTGAGGTCGGCACTCTGGTGCACTAGAATGTCCTTATCCAGGGGGATGCCATGTGTATTTATGTTGACCTGTGCCCTTGAGGCTTATGCTTTCCTCACTTCATTGTTTTGCAGCTCTACAGCTCCATGGACTTTGGAAGACGGTGGCAACTCATGCATGAACGCATCACACCCAACAGGTTTTACTGGTAAGTCCCATCCACAGACCCACTACCCTCTTGGATACAGAATTATCAGAGAGCATAGCACTCAGGATAATACTGGAGACACCTTCAGCACTTGAAAACACGTGTGTTCTAGCCCTTTGCTACTCAGTGTGGTTCACAGACTGGCAGCATCAGCATCACCTGGGAACTTGTTAGAAATGCAGAGTCTCAGGCAAGACTTCCTGAGTAGGAGTCTGCACGTAACACAGTCCCTAGTGATTCAGGTGTACGTTAAAGTTTGAAACGCACTGGGCTAGGGTGCTCCATGAGAAGGTCATGACCAGGTGCTCTTAGCTGGGTGCTAATCTCCCTTTGTTTGGGAGAAGTATATATTTTGTGTACCTATTCTAAAAGCAGTATTTCCTAAAGTGTACTCTGAAGAAAACTAGTTCCACAAAATGCTTCTCCTTTCTTAAGTGTTTCTATGGTCAAGCAATTTTAAGTAATGATTATTTAACTCTGCCTTAGTGAAGATGCAGGATTCATGTTAGGATAATTAAGACTCTGGAGAAACCCAGAGACTGAAGAGGACTCCTAAACTTATTTCACTAAAGAATCCTTTTCCCATGTCACACATGATAAATCCTTCAGAACAGCTTCTGTGGAGCACATTCTGAAAAGCCTTTTTTAAAGAGTGAGTATATGTTCCAAGTGGAAAATTAGCCCTCCGCCTATCAGAAAGTGTTTTTATTAATTGGTGTTCCTTTATACGTGCGTGCTATTTTTACCTTGGTTGTAGCAAGCTAAACGTGGTTTGGTATAATTTTATATTTTGTTCTTCCCTGCTGCAATGTGAAAAGTCTTCTTACTTGTATCTTGCTTTCATTTCAGCAGAGGTATAGCCAAAGGAATAGAGATTAAGAAGCATGCACCCAAGTGTTTAATATGCTTAATTATATGCTTAATTAAAACAAAACCAAAATTAATCTTGGAAAGTAGTCCCTATTTTCTATCTCTTTTTAAGCACCTTAGTTCAGTGCCCTTAAAAAGTCACAAGATGGCCATTTTTGTCTTATATAAGGTGGAGGTGGTGTGTGTGTGTGTGTGTGTGTGTGTGTGTGTGTGTGTGTGTAGTGTGGATGGCGATGAGTACTTTGTACATATATATATAGTCACACCAACATCTTTGAAAGCAATGACTCCACCCAGTTCCCTGTGTACGTACAAAATTATGACCAAAATTCAGAAAGATAACTGCAGAAGCATCCCGTGAGTACACAGTGTGTGCCAACCTACTGATTGCACACAGTGAATGGGGGGGTAGTGCTCTTGACTCAACACCTGGACTGTCCCCACTTATTTTGCCCTTTTCAGACCAACTATTATTTGGTCTGTACTGTTATTACACTTATTATTGGGTCTGTATTTAGAACTATTAAGATTTTTTAATAAACTAAGGCAGAAAAAGGAAGTATTTGTTTCTCTGATGTTCCAGCTATGTGACTAGAGCCTTTTGCTCAGCCAAAAGGGACCAGTTTCTTGGCGTGTCATCACTCACAGGTCCTTCAAAAAGAAAAAAAAAAGCCCTCTGCTATTTCTGGAACAAACTCTTGAGATGGTGAGGCTGTTGGCTGACTAGGAAGTCAAGTTGATGGAAAAGGAAAGTACAATAGACTGGATAAGCCTTGTCATCATTTCTGAGGGAAATTAAAGTAAGTGGACGAGGGGCAGCATTTTCCTATGTTTTGCAAAGAGCAAGAAGAGAAGGTTCCAGCTGCAGTCTGCCCTCCCCTTTTCTTTGTGTAGTGGAAAGAATAAATCCCTAGGTCCTGATAATTGTGTTTCATCTCTCCTGCACTCTGTGATTCTTTCATATGTGCCCCCATGGGGAAATATAAAAGTTAGTGCCCGTGCTGGCTAGCCAAGTGGTAGCTGGCAATTCCGTCTTCGTAATTATCACTTCTTCGTTTCTGATGTATAATTGCCATGATTATTCTTCTAGGTGTCATAGGAGTTGCAGTGGAAGAGCTCACTTTATACAGATATTTTTTCCCCCAGTGACAAAATCCATGTCTGTCTAAAGCTCTAAACCATTTGTGTTGAAGAGACATGACCTGTATGGGTTGGGAGTAGAAACATTACCTCAGAACCTCCTTGAAAAAAGACAAAGTGTGCATCTGTCTGGTGTAGAGCCCTGCTCTGGCTGACACAAAGACTCTTCAAGCTGTGGTTCCCTCATCTGTATAATGGGAACAAGATTCTTCTTGTCAATTTCATAAGGTTCTATAAAGGACCAGATATGATCAGTTGGACATTTGTCACTTTCATCTCTTCAATTTCATATCAGATTAATCATTTGTACGTTGTAAGTCATTAAGAATTATGCTTATTGGCATTTCCAAAGACCATGACACCTAAGTGATTCATCATTTTTCTGGGACACAAATTTGTATCCCATGCATGATGAGATTTGTATACCTGTGGACATCTGCTAACAATTGATTGGATCTGATTTACTCAGAAAGGTCCACTTCTCATCCTAACCTCTACTGCCCTCTACTCTTTGAGTCATAATTCTTGTGCGGCGGCAGTGGTACAGTCAAAACAAATCAACAACAGAAAGCCCTAAAACTTCTTCTCTGGGAGAGATGGTGCAGTGAAGTGTTGGGGACAGTGGGGACACACTGGAAGGAGTGTAGGCATGCTAAAAACAAGACATTGAGATGAAGGATGATGTTAATACTTTTATCTTGTATGTAGACAGAGAGTGTACGTGCAGCTCACGAGTAATATCGCCCAGATATTGTTATCTATAATTTGGAGATTTGTAGTCATCTAGGGATAGATCCTTTGTGAATATAAAGTTTCTTCTTCATTCTGCCTTCAGTTGTTGGAAAATAGCACCTGGAGGGGATTTGTAGGAAAAACACTGTGATCCAGAAGTGATCTTTGCCAAGGGTGCAGGGGGAAGAACCAACCAGACATGCCTCATACTTGCTGTAATGGCCATGAACGTGTATTGGGAATAGTCAGGGGCTGCCATTATTTTCCATTTCCTCCTTAGTGCCCTACAGTGCCTTTGAGTTAGGCAGGGCATGGGGCATAATATTTATTAGCAGCAGTTATAAAAGCTTCATCTGGAGGTAAAATTTTCTTTGTGAATTCCAGATGCTCTAACCCCATCAAGAGAGGTCACCTAGGAATCTTACATTATAGAGTGATTCAGCTATCCAGTGCATGCCCAAAGAATAGTACTGACTGACCTGAAAACTCCTTCTTTATATGTGACCCTTTCACTCATTTGATACCTTGTTAACAGGCAGATTACCAGGCCTGTCTTATGTTCCCATTTATCACCCCATCTGCTTTAGCAATTATAATTTGCAAGCAGAGCACAAAAGTGGAATGTATCTTGGGATATGGACACTAAGACACTATGGAAAGTGTCTTAACATAATCCCTTTCTTGTCTGCTTGGGCAAAGCTGTCATGGGGAAAAAGTATGTGTTTTCTTTTGTTTTTGTTTGTTTGTTTGTTTGTTTTTTAATATCCTACTGGGCTGCAAATGAATAGTATTTCCACTCTTCCATTGGGAGATATTTAAGAGACAGGTGCATTCTGCAGTGGGAAGATTGTTTTCTTTGCACATCCAATGTGAATACTTGTGGCTCAAGGCTTTGCCTTTATGGCCCCTCACCCTCCCTAGGTGTTCCCTTCTTCTGGTATAACTTGCTTGGCCTCTACATGCCTCTGGTCTGATGAAATTTGCTTGTATAGCCTTGAGAAAGAGAGAAAGAATGTCTCCAATATCTCTTCCTATTAACTGCCCTTTCATTATTCTGTCTCCTGAAAGATCAGGGTCTTTTTTGTTCCTATTTCTTGCCATCACTGCAGGAGTATGTTCTGATAAAATAATACACCCTAAAGTATCAGGGACTTTAAACTCTTAATCCTTTTCTGGGATGTTTGGGCTGCAAAAATGACTGGTCTTGAGAGTAAGAAACCCTATTAGAAGTCAGTAGATGTAGTACTGGTTTAATTTATTTTATTATTATTTTTATTTAAATTCAGTTAGCCAACACGTAGTACATCATTAGTTTTTGATGTAGTGTTCATTGATTCATTAGTTGTGTGTAACACCCAGTGCTCATCACATCATGTGCCCTCCTTAATGCCCATCACCCAGTTACCCCAACCCCCCACCAACCTCCCCTTCTGCAACCCTCGGTTTGTTTCCTGGAGTCAAAAGTCTCTCATGGTTTGTCTCCCTCTGTGATTTCTTCCCATTCCGTTCTCCCTCCCTTCCCCTATGATCCTCTGCACTATTTCTTATATGAGTGAAACCATATGATAATTGTCTTTCTCTGCTTAACTTACTTCACTTAACATAATACCCTCCAGTTCCATCCACATCAATGTAAATGGTAGGTATTCATCCTTTCTGATGGCTGAGTAATACCCCATTGTATATATGAACCACATCTCCTTTATCCATTCATCTGTTGAAGGACATCACGGCTCCTTCCACAGTTTGGCTATTGTGGACATTGCTCCTATGAACCTTGCAGTGCAGGTACCCCTTCTTTTCACTACATCTGTATCTTTGGGGAAAATACCCAGTAGTGCAATTGCTGGGTCATAGGGTAGCTCTATTTTTAACTTCTTGAGGACCCTCATACTATTTTCTAGAGTGGCTGTACCAGCTTGCATTTCCACCAACAGTGTAAGAGGGTTCCCCTTTCTCCACATGTAGTACTGGTTTTAGATCAGCCCTTTTTAGAGGAGCAGGAAGAAGTTCCCCTGAGGATTGCTCTTTTGAGCTGTTATGATGCCTGGTTGTAGGCTGATTAGTGGCTAGCGTATAGGGACAGGCAGGGTGGGTTCCACGCCTCTATTGTACTTTGATTAAGGTCAGTGTACTCACTGTAGACTTCTAGTGGTGATTTGTGCCGGCAGCTTCTCTCTTCTGGTTTTCAGAAAGGCCGTGAGGAGGAGGGTAGGGAAAATGGGAAAGTACAGAGGAGGTCCCAGGAAAATGCCTTT